GTGTATGATTAATATCATGAAGATCATACAAAATGTCCGGTAATTAGCTGCCAACTCGAAGTGTGAATGTAGATTGGGTTGAGACAAACATAAATGTCCCATATTGTTTTGCGAGATTCGCAATAATTATCGAGTTATTAATGACAGAAATCTGAGGAGTAGGAGATCATGAATCTTTTCCCTAGCGTGAACTAATGAAAAGTGAAAAACTTCTGTCAATTAGTGAAAAATTAAAAATTTTATACGAATTTATGAAAATCGAAACATTTCACACGACAATTGAATCGTTTAACATGGCAATTGCGTTCTGGATAATTCTTAATGAATATCAAAGGAATCCAAATGATCAAAACAATAATGTCCGTGTAGTCAGATATTACGTGACACGCAAAATCCGTTTATATAATATCCGTTTGATATAATATCCATAGAAAATGTTTCAAAATATGTATATACGTATCGGAAGTGGCCACCATAATATATGGCGATAATACATGGGCAATATGTGGCAATAATATATGGCAATAATATACGTCAACAATATATGGCAACAATATATGGCAACAATATATGGCAATAATATATGGCCATAATATATGGCAATAATTCACGGAATATATTTTTCGTTACCAAAGTCAATGCAAATTTGCGGCATGCACAATGTAATAATAAAAGAGCTCTCTGCGAGCATTGAGTCAAACGCTCACCGATGATGATGATCCGATATTGATGATGTCCCGTTGCACCCAACTAGATCCACCAATGTCCGTCCATGTTCGTGCTGCCGCTCTCCATGTCGTGCAGCATTCATCTTGCAGTGGCGTCCCACGTTGATTGCTACACTTTCGCCACACTTCCGCGAGGCCGTCGATACGCGGTATTAGAGCGGCGATATTTGCGTCAATTAACGAACGTCTTACGTCGACATCGGTGGAAACTTTTTACGCGCTGCGAAACAAACTCTGTAAACTCGATCGGCGAGGAGCAAGAACCGTGTGAAAATTTATCGATTCGTCCAACGGATTTTTACGGCGTTTTTCGCGATCGCGCCTGAAAAGTCGCGAAAATGCGGGAGTATCGATATTTACGAGAATATTCGCGAATGCATGCGAAGATTAGACAATTAGAAACCGGTCGCTCCGAGGGAGCACAAAGAGAGAGAGAGAGAGAGAGAGAGAGCGGAGCAAAATTTTCACGCATGATAGTTCCGTCACGACGAAGCTTACGTTCGCGATACTTTGGCGAAATGAGAATTTAAGCTTTCTTTGTTAGCAGCGCGGGTAAAAACGCGTAATATTGATAACCGCGGTCGCGATATTCAAAGGCACGCGAGCGAGGATACCTCAAGCTCGGCGTGCGCTGGCGCAATTTCTGCGCAATTTCTGGCGTATTATACGCTACTCAAGACAATAGGGATCGTTATGAATATTGCCAAATAATTTTACAGCCTGTTTTAAGGAAATAAAAGAAAAGTAGCCAACGGGTATCGGCATTTATGCGTATGAATATATTTTACGCGGACAATTAAATATTGTCAAATAATTGTCGTTAAATAATTCTGCGGCCCGCTTGAAAAATGAAAATAAAGCAACTGATGACGGTATCGCGTTTGTAGACACGAATATCTCTTATTCAAATGAATATCAAAAGAAAATCATTCGGTATCTTAAATCTCGTATATAATAAAGGCTATCGATCAAATAATCCCCTAATTGTTTCGAGCAATGTATTTTATCAAACGTCACAAACACACACATGCAAGAATCTATTTGCAATTTGCATTGACTCGAACGATATTTATTAGTCCCACATCCGTCATGCGGAATATTGTTTCTCTTTTCATTTCGACTCACCGAAACGACTTGCAGTCAGAGCCGGCCACGTTCCGCTTCAACTCTGTAACAAAAAATTCATATTCGCTCATCAGATTTGATCAACAAGTGCGGGCGAGTAAAAGAGTAGTTTACCCTCTGTGATCGTAATTCAAGTCGAGCCGAAAATAATATCCCAGCTAGATCGCCAAGGATCAAACAGAGGACTATAATAAATTTGTAAACTTACCTTCAAGCCGGCTCTGCTTGGCCCGAATCGGATCCTCCGATGCGGCATCCGCATCCGTCGGATTGCTGTTGCTTTCCGCAACAACTGAAACAGAAAAATAATTTTCCCGGTTGATAACCTGCGGCAGAGAGCGAATATCTTTGATCGGGACGAATCGAAAATACGAAAATATTTTGATAAAAAATTTTTATCTTTATATTTTGGTTCCAACATTGCAAATTTTAATGAGACTTGAAGCTTTCAAGAGAGCTGATTAGGAACAAGTTGCAAAGGCAAAGATCGTAAAGGGTTGAACACAGATGTGTAGCAAAACTTGTAAACTTTACCTTCCGACAGACTCTGCTTGGCCCGAACCGGATCCTCCGGTGCGGCATCCGCGTCCGCCGGATTGCTGTTGCTTTTCGCAACAACTGAAACAGAAAAATAGTTTTTCCAGTTGATAATCTGCGGTAGAGAGAGAATATCTTTGATCGAGACGAATCGAAGATACGGAAATATTTTGATATAGGATTTTTATCTTTATATTTTTGTTCCAACATTGAAAATTTAAATGAGACATGAAACTTTCAAGAGAGCTGATGAGGAACAAGTTGCAAAGGCAAAGATTGTAAAGGGTTGAACACAGATGCGTAGAAAACTTATAAACTTTACCATCCGACCGACTCTGCTTGGCCCGAACCGGATCCTCCGGTGCCGCATCCGCGTCCGCCGGACTTGCTTCCCGCAACGTCTGAAACAAAAATTTAGCGTTCCTGGTTGGTAAGCTGCGGTAGGGAAAGAATGTTTGGTCGGGATGAGTGGAGAATATTCGCTACGGTTTTTTTTCTTCATTGACATTGAAAGTCTAGATAGGACTTGGAGCTTTTGAAAGAGCTGACGAAAAAAATAACAACAAGAAGCGGAGACAACAGTTGTGTGCTCTCGAAAATACGAATGGACATTTAAATTTAGATCCCGTAACGAGAGTAAACAGGCTTGAAAGTAGCGCTGACAGAAAGTAGCGAAAACAGAAAAAGTCGCAGTTTGAGAAGCGGTATGACGTTGAATATTCTACACAAGACCGGTATACAGTCACACAGTTGGGAATTATTCAGAATGTTTGATTGAGAATATGGTGAATTAAAGATTCGCGTTAATGGACCGTTATCCGGCTCTGTCTGGATCAATATCTCTTGTATACAACAACGCAATAAATAGATAGACAGAGATTGACGAGAGTAATTGCAGATTCATAAAGTCATGATTACTACACAGAGAGAACGATTTAGTTGAATCTAACAAATGCTTATTTGGAATAGTCGAAATAAATTTTTTGATTGATCGAACAAAATTTTGTTTGACGCAACAAAAACATTTCGTTGGAACTAAGCTGCAACAAAATATTTTTGTTGTGTCAAACAAAACTTCATTCGATCAATCAAAAAATTTATTTGGACTATTCCAAATAAGCATTTGTTAGTTTCAACTAAATCGTTCTCTCTGTGTAGTCGGATCATGACGGATCGTGAATGCCGAGCGCGAAATTCCGACTTCTTATTCCCGAAAAATTCGTCAAATGTCCGCTCTCGTTATTGGAGACCTCCCGCATAATAAATGATTCCACATACCTGGAAACGTGACGTATCGCTGCCGGCGTCCTGCTTCCCGGCTGCTGGAGTCCTTCGGATTTCACTCGCTCACGCTTCTAATGCCGATACTCGCGATTCGACCGTGCGGTTAATCAACGCGATGCCGATTGAGTATCTCGAGGACCGACGAGATACATTTCTTTTAATTATACGAAACGGAAGTGACGAGCGCGTCGCGCACAGCTGCTGCTAATGGAATGAGGTCGAGTACGCGAGGTGCGCGCCTATTAATACGAAGGGCAAAAAGTGTCGTCGCTCATGAGCCGATCAACACAATCGGCGCGATGTAAACATTGCGGGCCTCGGCGGCGGTTGAAGCAAGACAGATTTGTCCTTGGATGTCTATTCTTTTCTCGAAGGTTTCGGAACGACGAGAGGAATGCGAGAAGACCTTTCAACTGTACGCGACATTGATTTACTATTTATTGATTACTGAAGATAAAGAAAATTACTCTGTCGAAATATCGGACATTTATATTTGTTTATTTATTATTTGTTAGCTTTATGTTAATTAAAGAAGAATGTGTACGATTAGAAAATGTGTTAGCAATTAATTGTACAGAGTGTCAAAGTTGTGACGCCGTTTTCGGAGAATAATTAAAGGTCACGGTAGTGTCAAAGAATGGAATTTCATCCCATGAGAATTTTGTCTCGTTCTTATTAAATGTTAGATTATCCGCTGCGGACAATAATTCTTCTACTTTTCATCTAAATTCGTTTGGCTTTTTTATATTTCGAAAATAAAAAAATATATACCAAGGTGAGATTTCACCCATGACAACATCAACGTGACTTTCTTTGATGCTTTTTTTAAAAGTTCAGATATTTCGTCGACTCGCGGGATATTTATAATCGAAGTCTCGTCGCGTTAATTAACACGTGCTCCTCCAAGCGGATCGAATGCTCACCGATGGCCACTATCAGTGAATTGAGAAGCAGGACAAAGGGAATGCGGGCAACGATCATGCGTCTCCAGACGTGTCAAATCGTTTATTATACAGGAAACTTTGATACAGCAACATGTATTCGAAGATTTAATATTTAATACGTACTTTTATTTTTTCTGCTCCTTCCCTCCTCCCTCCCGCTCTTTTTAGACCTGCGGACATAGTCTGGCATATAGATGGCAACTGTGGTAGCAGCACGGACATAAACCTCTTGAAAGTGGATGTAGCACGGACTTCCACCACATGCAGATTTTACCATCAAGACCTGAAAGTGGATGTAGCATCGTACTTCTCCTCTCAAAATGGATGCAGATGGCGTCCTTTCCCAGTGCGGAAAGTCAGTGTCGCAGAAAATGCCGTGTTGGCCGCTTTCAGGTTTCTCTCTGGTGTCGCCGAAAAGCCGAAAAGGCCGTGTTGGCCGCTCTCAGGTTCCGCTGCGGTACAGATATATATGTGTATTAAAAGCGCAAGCACGCGCGGGAAATTACAAATCTGTGCATACACTACGTCGAGTAAAGTCGGGATCACAAACTGTGTGTGGCATAACGTATAAGGCTGGGAAGACAATAGGTAGAGTAAGTTTTAAGCCTTTCGAATATAGAACACAATATAGAGAATAACATCCAAGTTAGCAGTTACACGTTTACATTTTACTAATATTTTATTATTTCACAGCAACATCGAAAATAACACCCAAAATCAAAATCACAATTATTTAACAATAACGCCAATTTGACCAAAACGCATACCATAAGTTGACAGTCACACTCAATAGACACCGAATTATTTGACAATAACATTACAAACATTACACTCAAAATGAAGGTCACCCCCAGTTATTTGAAGCTAACACCAAAAGTTACGCTCATGTATTTGATGGTAACACCGAAAATGACATCCTAAATGAAGGTAACGTTCAACTATTTCAGGGTAACACTCGAAATAACACCAATATTGATGGTAAACTTTCAACTGACACTTAAGTTGACAGTAAACACCAAAAATTTCGATTTTTCCGGTGAAGGAAGTAAAGGATGAAAAATACTCTATACTAAAAATATGATAGAAGACAAATATATGTTAAGAGAAATTAAACGCATTATTGAGTTGTACATCTTAAAATATTTTTTTAATTATACAAACACATATGCTCGTTCAAAGTTAGTTAAGCGTGTGTAATTTACGGAATGATTGTATGCTATCTGTTGCACACATGCACGCACGCACACATGCGATGATAAACGTGTGTAAATGGATTCACTGTACGTATGTACTCCTTATCACAACGACGATTTAAAGTAACTTCTTATCTCTGAAGCTTTTGCATTTTCCGCTCGCGTTAGTATTCGGGCGTGAGCCTGTTGTATACGTATTTGTTACCTTACGTGCTCATTTCCTTTCTTGCTAAAGATCGTGACGTTAAGTGCGAAAACCGGTGTTGCGATGTGAATTATGAGTGAGCTACCGAGATTAATAAGGAAACCACGTCCCGGCCATACGGATCGTATATTCCGCATCAGTTTCATTGAATTTTCATATTTGTCAAAAAGCACGCGACTACGATCTTATTTCGAATTTACGAGCCTCGTGCATTGATATAAACGTAATTGTTTCGTGGAGTTATTACACTGTTACAATTATACCTTGTGCATGTACAATAAGCTTTGTAGTCACGCGAGTATAGATTTGGTAACTAAATTATTACATAATATATTATGGCGCGTTTACAGAGAAAATGTGTGTGTTGTTATTCCGCTTGTAAGAATAAAAACATCCAGCTTATATGGTAAAAAAAAAATAATAAAACTGATACCTTTTTTACGTAACAGATTTTATATCGTCTGAAATTTTCATGTCAAAGCGTCGATTATATGGAAACATAACTTGTCGAAAACCACAATATGTTAAGGAATTGTGGTAGACTTAATAATATTTTGAAGTACACGCTCAAGTGGTATTTAAATAAGGGAAACAGGTGGGCGACGTTGTATAGAGACCACATCTCTCCAAAGGGATTTTCAATTTTTGTTGTAATATAGTTTCATGATCACGATCATGATATGCAAAAGTAAAAAAGAAATAAACTGTGATGTGCAGAGTCGATGAGTCGGAAGCCAGTAGCTTTGGAACGGTACAGAAGAAGAACGAAAGATGCCAGGCACTTTGACGTATCCAATTTACGCTGGTGTAGATCCATCTCCTCCTAGAAGACGAGCTTACACTTGGAACACACAGCATAGTTCCGACTCATGCGTGGAAGAAGTTGCGCAACTTGGTGTGCAACTTGGTCGATTGTCTTTATCGGAACCTTCGGTAAGATATTTGTACAAAAAAACTATATCAATCATCCGAGTTCAAAAATGCTCAGTTGTATCTTAGAAAGTACTAAGCGCAAGTTTTATAATCGACTTCAAACTTTGTATCTGCACAAAATACGCATCTTCCAAAAAAAGTAGATGGATTATATAGAGATTACAATAACGGAATAAAATATATCTTCGACTCTCGTCGAGATCTATCTCCAAAAGTTTCCAGCGTCGCGATTTTTATGCGAATTACGACGTGACACGTGAGAACTGTTGCGCGAGAGCACGTGGCGGGTTTCCTAATCCTTAAATAATAGTCGACAGGCTAAACTCGGTACTTTAAATCGTGTTTTGTCGCATTCGCGAAGACATAAGAGAAAGACCGTGTTAACCGAACAAAAATATTTCTCACGATTATTACTGTGTTTTTATTGTGTCGCGAGAAACATATGTGCAAATTATGTGTTGTGTTATAAGGAATTAGTATCAAATTATATATATATATATATATAAATAGATTAGAACGATTTGATAAACGCGTTGAAAGGAAATTCGGCCTTGTAAAGCTTCATTTTTAATTTCTCTATTAACGAAAAATTTCTTTTTCCCTTAATATTTAACATCTATCTGTGAAAAAGGAACGCGTCGATCTTGACAGCGAAAAATCACAGCGGCGGAGATTACGAGCGAATTAATTATATTTCATGCGATCTTGAAAATCCGTTTAATCCACGATACTAGCGAGTGCGGTCTCTCGGCGCTTTTGAATATTTAAAAGGAAGCAAGCCATCTTTGAATCGCCGTGGTATGTCACATCCGTCTCGGTCGCGCAATAGTGCTGGAGAGGGGTTAAGACAAAATAGGTTTCTTGATGGCATATAAGAAACAGTGAGCCCTGTTAAATTGCAAGAAGGGAGCGGTCGGTGATTAGTTTTACCAATCGAGCACACGTAACGTTAATGGCAGAGGAACATGTTTACGGTTACAATTCGACGGTCGGAACCGACGGCGATTCCGTACGTAGTTGCTTTGACAGTTTGACAAGTACAGGTTGGGTTCGCGACCGATAAAAGGCGCACCAACTGACGAAACGGGTGTTACGGGTGTATTTCGGACAGCTATTTATTTCGGACGTGGTTTTTTACGACACGCGGGCTCGTCGTCACAGTTCCGGGTGTGACCTGCCCGTCGAACTTGACAGCGAATCGCCCATGACACATCAAGGAAAACATAATCGTCGATGTCAATTTTATGCCACGCTCGTCGCGCTCGCCGAGGAGCAATATTTTATCTACGTTGTTAACACCTATCTTTTGAAGCATTTTTGTCCTTTGTCACTTCTTTGTTTCGATATTTGTATATTGCTATAATGAATGTTATTGGAGTAATATTGTCTAGAATTTCTTGTGTAATATAATGCAATATTCCAGAAAGACTCGTCCTCCATTATGACATTATCTCTGTTTTCTTGTTCAGATATCAGCTGTCTTCATATATACAAGTGTTTGATTCTTACTATGTGTTATTTGTCTATATCATCTTCATTGTTACATTTGATAGTAGTAGAGCATACTTATAGTATTCCATCTCTCATTCTATTAGATCTTATATAATGGTTTCACGATCTAGAGAAACGAGGCAACGAGCAAGTTGAGATTAAAAGTAATCGCTGGGCACCAACTAGCCAAGAAAGATATTTTTGGTGCGAGCGATCCCTATGTTAGAGTTGATTTGAATACGATAAATGGAGATCAAACAGTGGATTCTGCACTTACAAGAACCAAGAAGAAGACACTGAATCCAGTTTGGGAGGAGGAATTTGTATTTAGGGTAAACTTTGTGTGCTTGTATTATTCTCCTATTATTTTCTTTTTATATATATATGTATATATAAAATAATAATGACATAAATTATCTTTTTGTAGGTCAAACCAGTGGAACATAAATTGGTCTTACAAGTATTTGATGAAAATAGGTTGACAAGGGATGATTTTCTTGGCATGGTGGAATTAACATTGATTAATTTACCAAAAGAGCAAGAAGGTCGTGTTATTCCTGCTAGGTGTTATGTACTTCGTCCACGTAGGTATGTGTCTTCACTCATTCTGCTTCAAGCTATATATTCTATAATACTTCGATTTTTCATATGTTACATATCTTGATTTAATTTTTATTGTTTATATTTAATCGCTATTAGATGAGTTTATAGTATGCTCTCTTCTAATATCTTAATATTGATGAGTCATGAATATGATTCATTACAGTTGAATATCTTTATTAATTAGTTCCAATTTGTCTAATTTCCAATTTTAATAATGTTTAATCTATTATCAGTTTTAATGAAAATATATTTGAAAATGTTCAATAACATGACAGACCATTTCATTCCAATTTATTTAAATTTAATTTTTGCTTTGTATTATTTTGTTTGCGAATGCAAAATGAATAACTTATGAGGATATGGCTAGTAATCATTCCAGTCAGCGGTCCCGAGTTAAGGGAACGTTGGAAGTATATCATGCATATATTTCCGACTCGTCCACTATCGAGAATGAAGACCGAGAATTAGTATCTGACTCCGATGGGTGGGAATTAGTACAAGCGACGAATAACAGTCCGGAGGAGCAAGCTGCAGATGTATGTGCAAATAAAATAGTTATTAAATTTGTCAGTACCAAATCAATGGCAGTATTTCTTCTATTTGTGCTTATAAAACAAGAATAACGCATTTTCTCATGAATGTTCAAATATTTAAATTATTTAACATATCTATTTAGATTATGATTGTTAATGGGCCATTACCACCAGGATGGGAAGAAAGACAAGACGCAAATGGTCGTACATACTACGTCAATCATATAGCACGTTTTACACAATGGGAGCGACCAACAGAAACGTACGTAACGGTTTCTGTTGAATTTTAATTGATAATACTTTCGTTCAGAACATCTATCATGTGTCTATATAAAAATGTTCTTATAACAGGGATGCCGCAACGCAGGGTGAAAGTGTCGAGCAACGTAACTTGGATACTGCGGTTACCGAGTTTCAACGACGATTCCACATTAGCGCTGATGACGAAGGCAGACATAGAAGTTCAGTAATAACTCAGGTAAATTTGATAATATTTTTCTCTTGGTAACGATTTCAAACATTAATTTTGACACAAGTCCATACAAAATACACCTATGTTTGAAGTTGAAGAAAAACTCGACAATGAAACATATTACCTCTTTAACATACACAAATACGTAGATATAAGAATATTGAGTTATGAGTTATGAAATTGCAAACGGCTTTAATAATCATGCTTTGTTTTGAATATAATAGTTAACGCTATTCATAATATTGCTCCACTATAGTTACTAACATTATGTTACATTTATCTGTCATAGAAAATCTTCAATTCTTTATAAAATTTTCTCGTTCATTAACTTCATTTATACAATCTTTAGATTAGTCACAAATTAGAGCAAACGTAAAAGTAGTCTGTATTTTTTCAAAACGTTTCTAAATAGTTACTTCTCGCGCTTTTTTAACCAATTACGTAGTGGATAATAATAATATTCTCTGCTTTCAAATCTCCATGTTGAAAAGCACATATTTTACCATTTCTATTTATTATATTTATATCCTTGTGTAAGATGTATATGTTTATACGCACACACGCACAAAACATCTCGGTATACACAATCAATGAGGGGAAAATTGCAGCACTTTTACTCAACAAATATCAGGATGCATCCGATAGCCAAATATGAAAAAATGATGTTAGATATTAAATACGTTTTGCAATTCGTCAAGATAAAAGTGTTGTAACTTTTACTGACTGTATCTAAATAATGTTGCCATTTGTTGTTCAGTAGTGTGCATTTATAAAGGAACATTATCACTGTTTATTAAACTGTTTAAATTTCGAAATTATTTTATCACACAATGTTTCTTGTTATGTCAAGAATCTTTAGATATTTATATTAATAACGCGTTTGATTGTATGAGATCTTTTTTATGTATAAATATTTCTATTGGCGAATACGATAAATTTGGATCACTCCAAGAACGATTTCCAAGTGATTTTATAAGCTTCGTGAGAGGCTAAATAAAATTTATGTATCATCATTAATTGTTTGTGGAATAATTTAAACTCATCTTAATCAGGAAATATACAAACGTCATTTTACTATGTGTTTTTCTTAAATGTTAAATAACATTACAGTAAATAACGTAGTAAATAGGAATATATGATAAAATTACCAGATGAGTGTAACATTATATTAGAAATTTAGCATTGAATACTTTGTGATACTAACCAGATTTTAATTATTGGAAAGAAAATATATCTTTATAGATACTTAGATGGTGAAACAAAATGTTTACATACGTACATTTAAGATTATGGATTAATACATTTGTCCACACAATTTGTATGATTAGCATGCAGTATGTAGAAATTTGTGCATGTGTGTGTAAGGATGATGAGGTTCTACGCGAGGATGATGAAGATTCGGAAGCAAGAGATTGTGAGGGTGGGGATCATAGGGGTGGGGGTGTTGGGGATACTTCTTCAGAGTCCGGACGTTCTGTCGATCAACGTGGCTACCTTAGTGAATCTGAAGAACAGGTATTAACACACACAAAAATGTTGTATTCGTCTTCAGTTAAATGTAATGCTCAATATATATAACATGTATGTGTATGTAAAGTGATTATATTAAAAGCATGTTTATATCTTAGGGGAAAAGTCCAGAAATATATAGAAAGATCTAAAACATAAAATTTTATTGAACATAAATTGTTGTGAAAAGTTCTACTTTCGGTTGTAACTTTCAGAGATAGGTGATAGGGAGGGTTTGAGAAATAAGTGGATAGAGGAACAAAAAATAAATAGACAAAAAAAGTTGCTCATTTCATAATTTATTATTTATAATAACTTGTTATTATTGTTATCCATTTTGTTAATTTATGGCTAACAATGGCTAAAAATGGATAACAATGATAACAAAATTTAAGCGAAATAAAATTACGGCGTTATTTTATCGCACAATGTTTCTTGTTATGACAAGGACTTTTAGATATTTATTTTAATAACGCGTTTGGTTGTATGGGACTTTTTCTTACATATGTTTCTAATGGCGATTAGGACAAATTTGGACCACTCTAATTTGGAGGATCTACTCTAAAAGCGATCAATGATTTTATAAGCTTTATGATAAGCTAAATAAAACGTATCGTCATTAATTGCTTTTGGAATAATCTAAAAATAAAGTTTAATAAATTGTTGAATATTTTATATTTCTGATAAAAAATATTGATAAATACATAATAAGACTAGAACGTATTTTAATGATCGTAGTTCACTAGAAAATAGATATCTTGTATATTTCCAATTTGTCAGAATTTCGAGGATAAAATTTGGATAACAATATATATATATATATATATATATATATATAATATATATTTGGATAACAATATATATATATATATTTCTTTCTTTGTGTCCGATATTTTTACTCCTCAAAGTATGAACATGCAATTAAATATCAACATGAATTAACATAAGTATGTGTATGCTTGTTACAGAGTGAGTTGCATATGAAATTCTTTTCATTTCATGCATTATTTTGAACCAGTTTATCCACTTTTGATAGAGCTGAAACATTCAAATAACACAAAAACAAAACATATACATTTCAATCATTTACAACTAGCACATTTAGTTGTCATATATGTTGTACATATAACATACTGTTATTATTTATAGAAATCTATTTATATCCTAGAGTATTTTTCAAACATTTTGATTATTACTAGTATCAGATGAAATTTAGTGATATTATTGCATATTTTTCGTCTTTTCGTCTTATAATATTTAACGAAGTCTAAGCATTGTGGCAAAATGGGAACAAATGGAATATTAACAGTAAAGATATTTTATTTTTGTAGAGATTTTGATGTTTTTGCCCATTTATGTATAATGTATTACTGCTTTATTTGTCGTATGTGCCTCTTAGATATTTTCATATATTGTAAAGATTATTTTGTATTAAAAGTTGAGCATGAATTTTTCTTGTGTTTTTATCATAAACTATACTTAACAAAGCAAAAATGTAATATACGCAATGTTCTCAATTAAAATTTTACATTTAAAAGTATATTCTCTTGATATCATATGATATACGCAGCACCAGCTTGTTGTATCGATAAATATACAGATCGTTTTTATTCTGTATCTGTATCTTTTTTCTTAGAATGTAATGTGTAAACATCTTTATTATATTTACAGACTGATGATAATGTCGACAGCCCGGCTGGTTCAAGACGTTCATCAGAACAAGTATGATCAATGCATTTTTACTATATAATTTATCGACTTGTATAATTTGATTTGTTTATTTCATCGCAAAATTCCAGATTGAAAGCCCTAAACCTGTTCTCCCAATGTCTACTGATGAGGGTTTACCTCCTGGTTGGGGCATGCAAATAGCACCTAATGGCAGAGTATTTTTTATTGATCACAATGAAAGAGCAACGACCTGGGTGGATCCAAGAACAGGAAGACCAAGTTCTATACCAAATCCTATCGCATCGTCAACCATGTCAAGAAGCGATTTAGATCAGTTAGGACCGCTTCCGGAAGGATGGGAGGAAAGAGTACACACCGACGGACGTATCTTTTTTATCGATCATAGTATGTATATAGTTTCTATTCTATTGAGAATTCGAAGATTCGTAATGCATACAACTAAATAGTATTATATTTTGTAATATACATTTATATATTTTTGGCTTCTTTCTTTATTATAGATACAAGAACAACACAATGGGAAGATCCACGTCTGTCTAATCCTCAAATTGCCGGACCGGTATGACTAAAAACATTTATCACGAATCTTCTCATATTTCTTTCTAAATGATTTGATTGAAATGTTAATCAACTTTTCAAATTTTAGGCTGTACCATATTCCAGGGATTATAAGCGTAAATATGAATACTTGAAGTCTCAACTGAGAAAGCCTGTATGTAGACGTATTTATTAAATAATGATTTGATAGTGTAAACAGTAATAACACAAGTATGCTTATTATGCGTATACCTATATATAAAATCTATAAAATCTTATTACAGAATAACGTTCCTAATAAATTTGAGATTAAAGTTGGACGGAACAATATCTTGGAAGATTCATACCGTATTATAAGTTCTGTCAACAGAGTTGAAATTCTAAAGACAAAACTGTGGGTAGAATTTGAAGGTGAGGTAGGTTTAGATTATGGTGGCCTTGCAAGAGAATGGTTCTTCTTGTTGTCCAAGGAAATGTTCAATCCATATTATGGGCTTTTCGAATATTCTGCAACGTAAGTATACATAGTTTCTACATTATTGTTTATATCAGCATCCGTATTTAGCTGTTTATGGATTCAAATGCAAAACAATAAATTCTTCATAAATCCACAGAGACAATTATACTCTACAAATTAATCCTTGTTCTGGTGTGTGTAACGAAGAGCATTTGAACTACTTTAAATTCATAGGACGTATAGCAGGAATGGCTGTTTACCATGGCAAACTTTTGGATGGTAAGTCTTAGTGTCGTAAATCAAGTAAATAGGTGAGATTTATTATAAATATTATAAATAGTGTGCCATACTGATATATCCAACTTTTACATAACATAACACATTGTTTTAGCTTTCTTTATTCGACCATTTTATAAAATGATGTTGGGTAAAGCGATTGATCTGAAAGACATGGAGAGCGTTGATTCTGAATATTATAACTCTCTTCTATGGATTAAGGAGAACGATCCCAGTGAATTGGAACTAACTTTCTGTCTTGACGAAGAAAGCTTCGGCCATACTTCCCAAAGAGAGTTAAAACCCGATGGCGCTAATATTCCATTGACGGATGAAAATAAAGACGAATATATAAGTTTAGTTATACAGTGGCGGTTTGTATCTCGTGTACAGGAACAAATGAATGCCTTCTTGGAAGGATTCAATGCTCTTATACCGCCGACATTGGTTAAGATATTTGACGAGCACGAGCTGGAATTGTTAATGTGTGGCATACAGCATATTGACGTGAAAGACTGGAAGCAAAACACTTTGTACAAAGGAGATTATCATGCAAATCACCTTGTTGTACAATGGTTCTGGAGAGTCGTTTTATCATTCAGTAATGAAATGCGTTCTAGATTATTACAGTTTGTGACTGGTACATCACGTGTGCCAATGAATGGATTTAAGGAACTTTATGGCAGTAATGGACCACAATTATTCACGATTGAGAAGTGGGGTACACCGGAGAATTATCCAAGAGCTCATACTTGGTGAGTTTGCTTTGCTACTAGAATAATGTATTTTTAAAGCTTTGTTCCAATTTATATTCATTTTATATTTATTACATATATTAAAAGATTTTCATCAAACGATGATGTTTCTAATTTTTCTTCAAAATAAAAAAATGTATTATTCTATATATAGTATATAAATTTAGTATACATACATACAATGATGTAAATTATTGTTCCAGTTTTAATCGTATTGACCTTCCTCCATATACAAGTTATCAACAACTCAGGGATAAGCTAGTTAAAGCAATTGAAGGTTCTCAAGGTTTCGCTGGAGTCGACTAGCACGAAATACCTTTGTTCATGATGATATCTGTAATATAATGTATATACTATATATACATACTTATAGGTACACAGAAGAGTATATACTGTCTTAATATGATTATCTATTTAACAACTTTCTGCACTTTAATGATTTAGTTGTCTCTTAATTACAAGTGACAACACATTGAGACAATTTGAGAAAAAAAAATATGTTTGAAATTTAATATTATTGCTTAGCTTTCTTGGAAAGCTTCAATATGTCTTTCAGGATGTTACAGTCTGAAAAATATACAGTGTATTCAGTGAAAAGTATTTAAACAACGTGAAGTGCCGCTGAAATCAGATACTAACTAATCCACTTTTAGAGATATGCCATATTTTTACAATCACACTTTCGGCTTTCTTGGGAGAAGTAATTTGGCTGGTATATAACAAGGGAATGAGATATTTTATATAATATTAAGATGTAAATAATTTTGTATTATGATATTGATTTATTGATCAATTGTTCCCATTTGTTACATACATGTATCAAAGTAGTTAATATCAAAATATTATGATATATACAAATTGTTGAATCACCTGTATATGATACTAATGTTTCCAAATTATGTAATCATGTGAAAAGGAAAAATAACAATTAATGTTCAGTATAGCTTTATCAAATTTGCGTATTGAGAATATTACTCATAATTCAGAATATTCTTTTACTATTTCTTTGTGGTATTCCAAATTTTACTTCTCTCTGTTCTAGCTTTAACAACATATAAATTTTTAACTTCTCTTCCTTTTTCATTGTTTAATACTTATGCAAAGTTGTTTGTACCTTTGTTGAAGTAATCTACACGAAGGTAAAACACTTGCCATATATATATATATTTTTTACACACATACATATATAAACTGACTTATCTTCACTTATGTTGTTCCTTTTATAATTTTTTTATGATTGCTGAGTGATAAAAGACATCGAATGAAAATTGTATTATTCGGAAATGTACACAATATGCAGAAGAATGGAACAATTGTTTATTATTGATTATGTTATTAGAAGAAAAGGCAGGAGGGAAGATAAAATTAAAAGTTAATAAATTTGTATTAAGAAATATAACTTAGAAAATAAGTCGTTCTAAGGAAGTAAAACAAAATTATGCCTTATCAATATACAAAACAAACTAGGCAGGATTTAAAGGATTAATTAATTTATTCATAGGAAGAAACGATGTTGACCAACTAACGGTTCAAATTAATCAGTTACAGCTTATGTTACTTGTTGCACTCTCTCCTGGCTTGTTCTCCTAATTTATAATTTTAAAGACATTCAATGAGCTCATGTAGTCCATTGTACACAATATATATTAAATTAAGCAAAAGGTCGATTATAAAAAAATCAATTAAAATTATCTTTGAAAAAATATAATATCTTTTACATATATTCTGTCAATACAATTATAGTAATATCCAGCAGTCTTGGAAATTATGCAAACGTAACTCTTTATTTATAATTGGAGGTAACAAATCGATGTCAGATACGAATATCTATATTGTAATATATATTTGCAAAATTAACATGCATTCTAAATGCAAACGGAGTTGATATAACATTCCATCCTATTTGTACAGCTTATTTTATTGTAAACAGATACGTCCCGTTAGATAATAAATAATATGTCATGGCAGAAATTTTGTGGCCTTAAATTCCGGTTGAGACTTCTTATTTTAATAAACATCTCGTTTGTAAATTTCACATTTCTATAATAGTAAGATGCGCTAATTATTCGCCGATAAGTGAATGTCCTTTCGTACTTCTTAATCGTCATATTAGATTTGCAGGGTGATGTGTATAAGCTTACATTTAATACGTTAGTAATTCTTAGCTCGGAGACGAGCTTAATTCGGTGCAATCCAATATGTTATGAAGAGTGAACAATACAATTAATGCTCTCTTTATCGGAGCAAAATACAGATTCCGAATATAATTCCGGTGATCCAGTCTTTATAAATTATATTAAAGTGGATGCACTGTGGACAAGAAGAAAATTGTTGTTATGCGTGTAGAATGCAGTGTTCTCTGAATCTGTCTCCCTTCTATGTTAACAACTGCAATATAACTGAACAGATGTTGTCTTTTACTCTTGGTGTAATACGATTCAGTTTTAGACGTTTCTTTCAAAGTAATAATAATCAAATAGTACAGTCGTAAAATGGATACCGCATGTAGTTGAGCGGATTTACAGAACATTGTGTCACGGCGTGTAATGCGGACGGTACAAGAGACTTGTAAATTTTTGTAATTGATATGAGTATCCGCGCTCCCGCATCGCGCGCGCCTAGTTTTTCTTGTATTATATTCCCATAGAGAAAATTATAAATACATGAAGGAAACAATAACGATAAGATGTATGATGAACTTAAAATAGCCGCGATTGGTATCATATACGCGTAAACACATTTTTACAGACGGTGCGTCGAAATTATATTTACGTATAAATCGATGATATAAAAAAAGGGACAAGGCTTGCATGTAGATACATTATCGGACAACCCATTTCGTTCGGAAACGACACGTAACACACGCTCGAACTAAAAATGAACATTTTTAGTCCGTAAAACTTAATGTCTTATAATAATTATATCATGCATTATAACATACCTACTTAATATTTGCATTATATTGTTTACCGATGATACATTGAGCTTATTACTGTGTCAGGTAGCTTTATTCGTATAGCGTGTCCTTACCTATATGTCCATTTTCATTATAAATGTGTTATTTAATTTACGACGACAGAAAGAGACTTAATTGTTTTTAAGCTAGCTCAATGTGACGTACACACACACACACACACACACACACACACGTGTACACAAACATACACACATACACATACGTTTTATTTACACATACGTGCACGAACTGAAAGAAATGCGTGACTTAATTATAAAGCAAGTTATATCGCATTATAATTCGTCTGTAAATATAAGAGAAAAACAAGAGAAATATATATACACGTTGTAATATATTAATTATAAAAAAGTGAGCGCTTCTATATCGCAGTTGCAACAAGGAGTACGTAAAAAGGAAAAAAAACATGCTTACCGTGCTATGCCCTTGCGTTACGATCATTGAATTACTAACTAAAATACGGTGGAGTTTTCAATCATGAATTTTAACCATTAATATTATATTTAATGAAATTAATATAACAAATTATGTTCTCTTATATAATATTATGGAGAGCCACACACACACACAGACTATATATGCAAATAAATTATATTAAAAAGTTACACTCTTTAACGCTTTCTCCCTTACATTCTGCAAAAACTAAACACGTCTCAGTCGTCACGTTCCACGCGGGAGCAGCTTATCACCGTTTGATTCAGTAATCACCGCTGATTTGGAATGTGGACAATTCTTTCGAGTGCGTTTCGTCACGCCTCGGCCGCATCGCGCATTCGAATGTCCCGCCGAAACGCCGCGCCACCGAGTAAGCTGGCGCGTCACGGGATGACGCTAGTCGCGGGCACATCCGCAGAATCAAAAAAGACAGTCGGGAAGTGTAACATCACACATCGATTCGGCGGCCCGCGTCGTCAAGCCCGAAAAAACTTTCCTTTTCCGCGTTCCTCCTGGAGCCCGGCCGTGTGGCGTCACGACTGCCGTGCGAACCGCGGCGAATTCGAGGCGTTCTGTCTTTAACGTGCGCGCGTTACGCGTGTGGTGCTGTGATTGTAGTGACGGCTACGGCGTACCACACCGTTGGAGGCCGATGGAAACGTGACTGCCTTCTCTCGGTTATGCGGTGGTTCTTGTCAGGAGTAACGTCAGCAGCAACGCCAGTGGCAACGGCAACGGCAACGGCAACGACAACGACAACGCCAGTGGCAGCGACCCTTTTCTCGCTCTCGCGCAACCCCCGTCTCGCGGAAGCCGCTGTGTCGCCGACGAGGGAGGGAAGCTCGGCGGCGTGCTGATAACGCGACCGCGACGCGGCGGAGGTCACTGCATTGCGGTGAGTACGTCGAACTCTCGGTACTTTGACTCTCTTCTCCGCAACGCTCCTTCTCGCTGCATCGTATCGCACAGTGCGACACGATACAATACGACACGTCACGCCTCGCCGTCTCGACCGCTTTTTCATTCCCTCGCGCAACCACCGACCGCCAACAACCCCGAGGGTTCGTTTACCCCTCGCCAACGCGAACACCGTGATGTGCCTGCCGGTCGGCAGCGAGCTTTCTGTTTCCTTTCCGTAGTATCGCGAGACCGATTCGCCGAACGTTCTCGGGACTCGGAATGCCCGTGGACTTTCCGAGTACGAAAATGACGGTCGCGAGCGATCGTCGTCGCGTGCGTGGCACACCGTGGTGGCACACCGGCCACGGGAAGAATCCTTTGCGTACATTTTCACGTTCGCGCAATCTCTCGCGATCGATTGGTATTTTGAGTTTTGAGCTTCCGCGAGCATGATTATGCCAACGCCGAGGATCTCTCCTCCTAGCCTAGGCCGGCGGCCTAGGCTCGTCGCGTTACAAATCCGCGTGTTGTAATACACGCGTATTGCTGCTGTAATGTTTATCACCGGCGAGCAGTATTACTATTAGGAATATTTACGCGCTTAATGAATCTACTTTGCGGAGAAGTGGAGAATAAAAAATCAGTGCTTTTTAAATACGAACACGTTAGATAACCTCAACCTCAACTTCGGCGGACTGTGAACCTGTGTGTGTACGTGTATGTGTATACACAGATATTAAAGTACGTACACAAATATAGATACATTCAAATATAGATTAATTAATTATTTTTAAATTTTATCTACATTTTGTCCACGTTTGGACGATGCATTATAATACATTTCTGTATATTGTTGACGACACGCATTGAGATTTATTAAAAAATCTCGGCCCTCTATTTAATTCAATACGATAAATTGCTCCACTGCGGTGTAATTTGATCATCCACAAATGTTTTTCGCGCAAATTAAAATATTATCGTTGCCAACGTTAAAATAACGTACATGTGACATTTTATGTCCTACGATGAGTACGATGAATATATTTTTTATTCATTAATAATGCATAATTGAGAGTCTCAGGTTTTTAGATCAGATACAGTATTTTATTTCTCATATTAACGTGTTTAAATCCTCCAAATGTTATTCACTGAAGCCAATCCCATACCTGTAAAAATACATACTTGAAAACTGCGCCGAAGTAATCGAGGGCTTCGCCGATTCGATAACATCCACGAATTTTGCCCGTGTCATGTGATAATTGGTTGCCTATTTCCCATCGTCCCGTGACTTTCCGTTCCTAATGCTTAGAATAATTGTCCGTTCTTCTTTCATTCCTTTTCCTCTCGTTGTACGATGTTGCGGTAATCTCACTCTTGATATTTATCGCATGACATTTCTCTCGCCGATGCTTCTCTGGTTTGCGCGTGCCTTTCCTCATTATAATCCAATACCCGAGAGAAATTCTTGAACCTCATTATACCTCATATTACGTCAAGCGCCGGCGTATTTACATCACGTCAATACCACCATCATCTGACGTTCGGTCTCCCGTGTATGTGTGTGTGTGTGTGTGTGTGTGTGTAACAAACGTGTCACGTGTGAATCCACCGATGGATTTAGCAGTAACGGATTCGACGACGGCAGTACGTCGCCCGCAGTAGTAGCGCTTTTATTTTCGCCGGTCGACGCGCTGCCGATTTTACTTTAATTTGCACGCTCATCACCACCTCGCGCTTACTTCACGACGCTACGTGCGGGCGTGTGCGCGCGTTTTCTCATCACCGCGCTGCACTTTCGTCTCGCGAAGCGAGACGTTGCGACGAGAGCGCGCAAAAACCATAGACGTATAATAACTAGACCGCCGAATTCGGCCGAAAAGTCGTCAAATATTAGAAAGAGAGAGAGTGTGTCATTCTGTCTCCGTCTGATAATGTTTC